CCATGATGGTGAAACCCCGTGTCTACTAAAAAAAAAAAAAAAAAAAAAAAAAACTAGAAAAATTACAAAAATTAGCCAGGCGTGGTGGCAGGTACCTGTAATCCCAGCTACTCCGGAGGCTGAAGCAGGAGAATTGCTTCAACCCGGAGACAGATTACAGTGAGCGGAGATCACGCCACTGCACTCCAGCCTGGGTGAGGTGGGGTGTGGGGGAGGAAGAGGGGAAGGGGGATGGGAGGAACAGTGACGTGAGTGATGAGCTTAGAGCCTCCTATGAAGACCACTGTGAACCCAGACAGACTCAGTGTAAGGACACCTCCAGAGGGGTGCTCAGGTGAATATTATTATTAATTATTATTGCCATTGAAAGTAATGGCAAAAACTGCAATTACTTTTGCACCAAACTAATATATGTTAAATGAGTGATTTTAACTTCGGCCTTTGAATTGATTTCTACCCACCTGATCTGGCTCCTGCCCACTGCCCCAGCCTCATGTCTCTTCAGTTTCACCCTTGAATTTTCTACTTTAACCAAATGGAACTATTCCTGGTTCCACAAATCACCCAAGCCTCTCTCATCTTTCACCTTCTTGTTTCTTTTTTTTTTTTTTTCTGAGACAAATTCTTACTCTGTTACTCAGGCTGGAGTGCAGTGGAGAGATCTCCGCTCTCTGCAACCGCCACCTCCCGGGTTCAAGCGATTCTTGTGCCTCAGCCTCCCCAGTAGCTAGTATTATAGGCACCTGCCATCACACTTGGCTAATTTTTGTATTTTTAGTAGAGATGGGGTTTCACCATGTTGGCCAGGCTGGTCTCTAAGTCCAGACATCAAGTGATCCACCTACCTCAACCTCCAAAGTGCTAGGATTACAGGCGTGAGCCACCGCACCTGGCTTTCACCCGTCTTATGTCCTCTGCTTGTATCCTCTCCCCCTGCCTTCACTGATATCCTTCAAAGTTCAACTCAGATGCCTCCTCCTTCAGGAAGTTTTCCCCGACCCCACCCCTCAAGCTGGCCTTACCCTCTGGGTTTCCGAATTCCAGTCCGGTCTTCTCTGTGGTCTTCTCTGTTGTCCAGTGAGCCCAGAAGGGCAGGAGTTAGGCCTGTCTCAGTCACTGCTGACTTACCAGCATCACCCGGCACAGCGCTGGGCTCAGAAAAAGATTGCCGACAGGGCGTGGCCGCTGAAACCTGTAATCCCAGTACTTTGGGAGGCCAAAGAGTGGGGGACTGCTGGAGTCCACGAGTTGGAGACCAGCCTGGGCAAGATGGCAAAACCCCATCTCTAAAAAGAAAAGAAAAAGTTTGCTGCATGCTTGAATGCAAATATGAGGGAGGAGAGAGGCTCGTTTCTCTGGGAAGAGGCTGAAGGTGTGGAGTTCCCAGGGGGCATACCATTCAAAACACCTTACCAGGTGCAGTGGCTCACACCTATAATCCAAGCATTTTGGGAGGTCAGGGTGGGAGGATCTCTTGAGGCCAGGCATTCCAGACGAGCCTGGGCAATACAACAAGGCCCCCTGTCTAAAAAAAAGTTAAGAAATTAGCCAGGCATGGTTGCTTGTGCCTATAGTCCTAGCTACTCAGGAAGCTGAAGCAGGAAGATGGCTTGAACCCAGGAGTCTGAGGGTGCAGTGAGCTATGTTTTTGCCACTGAATTCCAGCCTGGGCAAGAGAGCAAAACTGATTCAAAAAGAAAAGAAAGGGGCCGGGCGCGGTGGCTCACGCCTGTAATCGCAGCACTTTGGGAGGCCGAGGCGGGTGGATCACGAGGTCAAGAGATCGAGACCATCCTGGTCAACACAGTGAAACCCCGTCTCTACTGAAAATACAAAAAATTAGCTGGGCACAGTGGCGCGTGCCTGTAGTCCCAGCTGCTCAGGAGGCTGAGGCAGGAGAATTGCCTGAGCCCAAGAGGCGGAGTTTGCGGTGAGCCGAGGTCGCGCCATTGCACTCCAGCCTGGGTAACAAGAGCGAAACTCCATCTCAAAAAAAAAAAAAAAAAGAAAAAGAAAAGAAAAGAAAAGGCCCAAAGCCATTTCCTAGGTGATAAACTGAAGCCAGAAAGGGCCTCTCTGCTCTGTGGGATCCATATTCCCCACTGCTCCATCCGGCCTCCTCTGGCCTCTCTCACCCCCTTCCTGGAGCCCCAGGCCTCTTTTTTTTCCCCCAATGATGAAATCAGAATCTTGGTAGGAGGTTTGGCCCAGTGGGAAGAAAGCCAGCTGAGACCAGCTGGTATATTTTCCTCTCTAAGAAGGGGGAGGGCAGGCGGGGAGACCCTCCAGCCAACATGGTCCAAACCCTCAAACAGTGCCCTCTTGGCTTGGACCCACCCCACCTTCCCTGAAGGGTCTAGGATTCTGGGGTCTCCTGAGTCCTGGAGACTCCTTCCTCCAAATTCCCATCTGGCACCTCTAGCCTTGGAGTGGGTGAGCCTGGCCTGGGCCACTTCTCCAAACCCCAGGATGCTGATTACCTGGAAGGCTGCCAGAGCTTCCCCACTCCAACCCGGTCACCAGTTGCTGGGTCCCTCAGGGGCCTCTCAGGTCGCCCTTTGCCCAGTTGTCCTTAGGTCCTGAACACTCCAGGGGAACAGCTCCCAGCTTGTGAATCTGTGCCCAGGGTTACACACCAGAAGAGTTTTCTTTTTTTTCTCTTCTCTTTTTCTTTTCTTTTTTGGAGACAAGGTCGGGGTCACTCCGTCTCCCAGGCTGGAGTGCAGTGGTGTGATCTCAACTCACTGCAACCTCCACCTCCTACGCTCAGGTGATCCTCTCACTTCAGGTTCCAGAATAGCTGGGATCACAGGCTTGCGTCACCATGCCGGGCTAATTTATATATTTTTTTGGGTAGAGACAGGGTTTTGTCATGTTGCCCAGGCTGGTCTCAAACTCGTGGACTTAAACTATCCGCCCACTGTGACCTTCCAAAGCGGTCGTATTACAGATGTGAGGTACTGCACCCAGCCTAGAAGAGATGTTTCTTCCTTTTCCTTTTTTATTTTTATTTTTTTAGACAGAGTTTTGCTCTTGTTGCCCAGGCTGGAGTGCAATGACGTGATCTTGGCTCACTGCAACCTCTGCCTCCTGGGTTCAAGTGACTCTTCTGCCTCAGCCTCCCTAGTAGCTGGGATTACAGGCATGCACCACCATGCCCAGCTAATTTTGTATTTTCAGCAGAGACTGGGTTTCTCCATGTTGGTCAGGCTTGTCTTGAACTTCTGACCTCAGGTGATCCACCCTCCTCGGCCTCCCAAAGTGCTGGGATTACAGGCGTGGGCCACAGCACCTGGGTTTTTTTTTTTAAAGATGGGGTTTCACCATGTTGGCCAGGCTGGTCTTGAACTCCTGACCTCAGATGATCCGCCTGCCTCGGCCTCCCAAAGTGCTGGGATTAAGGGCGTAAGCCACTGTGAAAATTTTTTTAAAAAATATTTATTTATTGAGATGGAGTCTTGCTCTGTTGCTAGGCTGGAGTGCAGTGGCATGATCTCAGCTCACTGCCACCTCCACCTCCTGGGTTCAAGCAAATCTCCTGCCTCAGCCTCCTGAGTAGCTGGGACTACAGGCACGTGCCACCACGCCCAGCTAATTTTTGTATTTTTAGTGGAGACAGGGTTTCACCATGTTGTCCAGGATGGTCTCGATCTCCTGACCTCATGATCCACCTGCTTGACCTCCCAAAGTGCTGGGATTACAGGTATGAGCCATCGTGCCTGGCCTATTTTTATGTTTTTAAATACTAATTCTCACTATGTTGCCTGAGATGGAGTCTAGTGGCTATTCATGGTCACCATTTTAGCTCACTGCAGCCTTGAACTTCTGGCCTCAAGTGAGCCTCCTGTTTTAGCCTCTCAAGTACCTGGGACTACAGGTGCATGCCACTGCATCCAGCTTGTTCAATAACAACAACAACAACAATAATATAGTAGTATTTGACTTTCTTCTGAAGGATATTTTTGTTAGAAAAAAAGAAGAAAAGAAAAAAATTGAAAACAAAGAACTATATATGTATTTTTAGACAGAGTCTCACTCTGTTTCCCAGAGTGGAGTGCAGTGCTGTGATTTCAGCTCACTGCAACCTCTGCCTCCTGGGTTCAACCAATTCTTCGGCCTCAGCATCCTGAGTAGCTGGGATTACAGGCATGTGCCACCATACCCGGCTAATTTTTGTATTTTCAGTAGAGACAGGGTTTCCCCATGTTGGCCAGGCTGGTCTCCTGACCTCAAGTGATCCCCCTCCCCGCTTCACCTCCCAAAGCGATGAGATTACAGGCGGGAGCCAGGGCTCCTTAAATAAATACATCTTATTTAAATTTTACATCAATCATATGAGACAAAAGATTTTTATTACCTGCTCTTTACATTCAAGGAATTAAAGTTCTCAGAGGCGACAAAAGACCAAATTCAGGGCTGAGAAGTTCCAAAGCTGAGGTGATTCGCAAATGAATCACCCCAGAACCACCTGCGCTTTCTAGAGACCCTAGCACCTGGCAACAAACCTCTGCGGTTTAAGGGCTTCAACCCATAACCCAATTCCTTTGGCGGGAAACAGCACCCTCCCGAGGCCCCGCTCCTCTCCGGCCCCGCCCCGCCCCGTCCTCTCCGCGTCTCCGGGCCCCGCCCCCTAGAGACGCGCTTTTTTGTTTGTTTGTTTTGGGTTTTGGTTTTTGGTTTTTGAGACGGAGTTTTGCTCTTGTTGCCCAGGCTAGAGTGCAATAGCGAATTTTGTATTTTTTAGTTTCTCCATGTTGGTCAGGATGGTCTCGTACTCTCGACCTCAAGTGATCCACCCTCCTCGGCCTCCCTAAGCGCTGAGATGAGGGCGTAAACCGGCCTCTGGGCGTTGTTATTCGTCCTTCTAGGGGTAACCTGGCCCTTCTCGGGTATCAGCCCCGCCCCTACTGGGCCAGGCTCCGAACTCTCTGCAGCCAATCAGCGCCCGGAATTTCGTCCCCGCCTTCTCAAACCCCGCCCCATACTCTTAATCCTGGCAGCGTCCGCCAAACGGGCTCAGAGCCCAGCGGCACGCCTTGGGGTCTTTTCTCTGACTTGGTAACCGCTACTCCAGGACACCGGACCACCGCTTTCCGTACTTAGGGGCCCACATCCCACCCTCCAGACCTAAGAGCCTGAGTCCCCTGGTACCGCAGCTCCACTTCCCGGCCCCCAGATCCTGGCGCCCCAGCCCTCAGTATCCTAGACCCAGGCACCCGGGATCCCTGCCTCCCGGATCCAGGCGTCCCGGATCTGCGCCTCCAGAACCCAGCCTCCTGCAGACCTCCCGCCATCTGGGCGCATTCAACCTCCTGGAACCAAGAGCCCCACCTCCCAGCCAAAGAAACTTGTATTCCCAGGTCCCAGGGCCAAGGAACCCAGGCGCTCCGAACTCCCAGCTTTCGGGCACCTGACACACGGGGCAGAGCAGAGGAGCCCCAGCGCCCAGCCTGGGGAACTTCAGACACTCCGGCTTGAACTCACAATTCTAAGGAACCCTGAAAATTTCCAGTCTCCAGGTGCTGTTACTCAACTCTCAATCCTAGGAACGTCGGGTCTTGGGAAGGAGCCCAAGCGCTCCCAGCCAGCTTCCAGGCGGAAACCCGGGTGCGTCCCATCATGGTGGCCGATCCTCCTCGTGGAGACTCCAAGGGGCTCGCAGCTGCAGAGCCCACCGCCAACGGAGGCCGGGCTCTGGTCCCCATCGAGGACGAAGGCGGGGCAGCAGGCGGCTGCTGCGGTTCCCGGGACAAGGTGCGGCGCTGCCTTCGAGCCAACCTGCTGGTGCTGCTGACGGTGGTGGCCGTGGTGGCCGGCGTGGCGCTGGGGCTGGGGGTGTTGGGGGCCGGCGGCACGGCGGCGCTGGGCCCGGAGCGCTTGGGCGCCTTCGTCTTCCCGGGCGAGCTGCTGCTGCGCCTGCTGCGGATGATCATCTTGCCGCTGGTGGTGTGCAGCTTGATCAGCGGCGCCGCCAGCCTGGACCCCAGCGCGCTCGGTCGCCTGGGCGCCTGGGCGCTGCTCTTTTTCCTGGTCACTACGCTGCTGGCGTCGGCGCTTGGAGTGGGCTTGGCGCTGGCGCTGCAGCCGGGCGCCGCCTTCTCCGCCATCAACGCCTCGGTGGGAGCCTCGGGTAGTGCGGAAAATGCCCCCAGCAAGGAGGTGCTCGATTCGTTCCTGGATCTTGCGAGGTCAGACTCCGCTCGCCCGGGAGGTGGGGAAGGGTGTTAGGGATGGCCGGAGTGGCCACGTAGACAGGACAGGGCTTTCGGGCCCCTAGAGCCGAGCTTTCCCTCTAGAGGATTAGGAAAACTCCACAGGATATTGTGGGGAGCTCCAGTCCTTGTGAGTGTGAGTCTAGCCTCCGGGGGAAGGGGGTTTCTAAATTCGGGGGCCTGGGTACATAACTTCGGTCTTATAGAGGGAGAAGAAAGTGGTTTGGGGAGACATAGGGTCTGCCTAGAGGAGAAAGACACTGTGAGGGGAGGGGACCCCAGGAGGAATTTTTGGGGAAGGAATCTTTGTGTGGTCAAGTGCCCCAAGATGGGGCTTCTAGACAGAATTTGGGGCCAGGGTTGACGAGCTTGGGATTCCTAGGTAAAGAACCCATGGAGGATCTGAGTAACTCCCACCAGGGCCTCCTCCCAGCCCGGGGCTCCCCCACACCACGTGTCACTGGGACACAACCAGGTTCTGTTCTCAGCCTCCGCTTCCAGCTCACTTGAGCTGGGGCCCCGCGGCTTCCCCTTTTTCCTTTTAGGTCAGCCCTGCTACCCCTGCCTTTCCCTCATGTTTCCTTCTCGGTCTGGGCCACCCCTCCCCCCAGCAGGCAACCCAGAAGAGGACCAGTTAGAAAGGGGAGCAGATACTTTTCTTTCTCCTGGACTCTGCCCTGTGCCCCAAGAATGGCCTCCCCGACTTTGAGGAGGGTAGGGTACGGGGTGGGCAGAGGCCCTCCTGCCCTTGCCTTTAGGATTTGCTGATTCAGTGTCTACAGGTTGAGGACTTCCTGGAAGTTTGGGGGAGGAAATGATTAGTCACAGAGCAGGGTTTCCCCAGCCTCTGGGTGTCAGTGCGGGCTGAGGTGGGAGGCTGTGTCAGGCTTGGCGTCCCGAGTTGCAGCCTGGGAGCACCTTCTGGTCGGGGGAGATTAGCTGGGTCCTGGCCCAGCCCTGGCCTGGGTGGTACAGGCTGACCTGCAGGCAGGCACACCCACTCTGAGGCCTCCTTTCTGTGCCAAAACAGCTGTAGCTCACACTTGGCCGGCCACACAGGCTTATGACCAAATGACACACAGCTGGACACAGACACTGAGGCTGGAACATCCCCACAAACACACGGCAAGGTACCAGTGGTCATACATGTGCTCACTGTGTCCTAAGACCCCTGGAGCACCACCACTCAGTGATGCCACCAGCCACACCAGCACCTAAACACATGCTCAGGAGCACACAATACACACTCACACACACACTGTGTGGCCACACACCAATAACTCAGGCTTTTTTTTTTTTTTTTTTTGAGACAGTCTCTGTCACTCAGGCTGGGGTGCAGTGGTGCGACCTTGGCTCACTGCAACCTCTGCCTCCTGGGTTCAAGTGATTCTTGTGCCTCAACCTTCCGAGTAGCTTGGAATAAAGGGGTGTGCCACCACGCCTGGATAATTTTTGTACTTTGAGTAGAGATGGGGTTTCGCCATGTTGGCCAGGCTGGTCTTGAACTTCTGACCGAAAGTGAGCTACCCCCCTCAGCCTCCCAAAGTGCCGGGATTGTGGGCATGAGTCACCGCACCTGGCCAAACTCATGTGTTATCTTACTCTACCGTGATGCTTGGCTGGCCGTCCATGGACACTGTCCCGTACATCTGAACCCTAACGCACACCGCAACCCAATAACATTTGACAGATTGTAAATGGACACACGGCATTGGCTGGACATCAGGTCCAGTGAGAGGGAGAATGCAGAGGGGTTGGGGCTATGCAGCCAGCTGGCTGGGTTCACATCCCGGCTCTGCCACTTCCCAGCTGGGGAATTTTCTTTACCCTTCTGGGCCTCAGTTTCCTTTTCTGTAAAATGTGGTAATAGTGCTTGTCCCCAAGGCTGTCGTGAGGATGAAATGGGTTAATTTGTATAAAGCACAGGCCAAAATGCCTGCCTGCCACACAGTAGGTGCTGTGGATGGCTTAGCTGCTATATATATTTTTGAGACAGGGTCTCACTCTGTCCCAAACCGGAATACAGTGGTGTGATCTTGGCTCACTGCAGTCTCAACCTCCTCAGGCTCAAGTGATCCTCCCACCTCAGCCTCTAGAGTAGCTGGAACTACAGGCATGCGCCACCCTGCCTGGCTAATTTTCATACTTTTTGTGGAGACACAGCTTCGCTGTGTTGCCCAGGTTGGTCTCTGACTCCTGGCTGAAGCAGTCTGCCTGCCTGGGCCTCCCAAAGTGCTGGGATTCCAGGCAAGAGCCAGGGTGCCATTCTCATCTCAAGGCAGACACCGTCACACCAGAGTAGGAGTAGCCTTGTAAACGCAGAAACGCAGAGGCATATTCATGAGATGTGAAGCCGTCCTTTGTCAGTCCCCCTACTACCACCCCACACTGCCTCTCAGCACACCCAGATCCTCCCCCATACCCTCAGAGCCACAGGCCGGCCCACTGGAGGCCAGCCCTCCTGGAGGAAGTGGCTGATGCAAGCTGTCCAAGATATTGAGTTTGCTGCATGGGGTGGAGCTGAGGCCCTGGGGTGACCTGCCCTGGCCTGCCGTGGGAGGCCAGCATTCCTCACCCCACCCCCAGCCCACAGCGCCTCATGGCTAGCATGCTAGCCTCTTGGGGCTAAAGGGGGCTGCAAAGGGGTGCAGGCTGTGACTCCCCACATCCTGCAAAGGGGTGCAAGCTCAGTTCCAACCCTGCCTGGCTGAGGCATGAGCAGGGGCTGCGTTTGGGTGCAGATGGGGCCCCAAAGCTTCCCCTTGCTGCCTTAAAACACAAACCCAACCCTGAGACATTGCTGCCCTCTACCCAGGGTACCTAATAACCCTCGGTACTTCTGTCTCCGCAGAAATATCTTCCCTTCCAACCTGGTGTCGGCAGCCTTTCGCTCAGTGAGTCCTCAGGGGTGTCCTGAGGGGTGGGTGGGGGGGGGACAGGGAGAGATGCCAGCCAGGGGGAGCCCTTGCCACCTGCCTTTGAGTTCATGCCTAGAAAGATGCATGTGCAATGAGAACATTGGCTTAGAGCCTCCTGTGAGCTGTAATTCCTGCTGTGTCACCCTGGGCAAATGTGTTGACCTCTCTAAGCCTCGGTTTTCCACCTCTGGAAAGTGGGGGTACTGATCGTCCTGCCTCCGTGGGGGTGACAGCAGATGAAATGAGATCACACTGAAGGGATGTGGAAGGGCAGGGTTTGGGTATTGTTAGCTTGGCACGGGGTTGGGGGGCCGTGGTGAAGATGGACACTGACTCTTTCCAACCCCCCTGCAGTACGCTACCACCTCCTACGAAGAGAGAAATATCACCGGAACCCTGGTGAAGGTGAGAGCGGGGGAGGCACTGGGGGCTCTACCTCTTTGCCCATTGCTATAATTTTTTGATTTTCTTTTCTGCCTCGGTCTTTGCTGTGGAATTTGACTGATGCTTTTTTTTTTTTTAAGATGGTGTTTCACCATATTGGTCAGGCTGGTCTGGAACTCCTGATCTCAGGTGATCTGCCCACCTCAGCCTCCCAAAGGGCTGGGATTACAGGCATGAGCCACTGCGCCCGGCCCTTGACTGATGCTTTCTGTGGTCCTTCCCCAGTTTCTGTGTTTTCTGCCTTCTGGATAGGCCTCTATTTTGCCCCCTCTTTTCCTGCCCCAGGCTGATCTTCCTTTCTGGTCCAGGCTCTTTCTTTCTCCCTTTATCCCTCCTGCTCGCCCCCCATCCATGCTGCCCCCTCCCTGTCCCTTCCCACCCTCCCTCAACCTGCTCAACCTGGCAGCCAGCCGGAGGGTCTGTTTTTGTTTTGTTTTTTCCTGAGACAGGATCTCTCTCCATCATTTAGGCTGGAGTACGGTGGCATGATCCCGTCTCACCACAGTCTCGGCCTCCCAGGCTCAAGTGATCCTTCCCACCTCAGCCTCCCAAGTTGCTGGGATTATACCACACCTGGCTAATTGTTGTATCTCAGAGACTGAGTTTTGCCCTGTTGCCCAGGCTGGTCTTGAACTCTTGGGCTCAAGTGATCTGCCCACCTTGGCCTCCCGAAGTGCTGGGATTACAGGCGTGAGGCATTGCTCCTGTCCTGAGGAGCTTTTCAAAACACAAATGTGACCTTACCTCTCCACTACCCAGAGAGCCCTGCCATGTGCCCCACTGCCCTCAGGAGAAAGTCCGGTCTCCTTGCTACAATCTGTGACCAAGGGGTCCCTGTGAGGTCAAACCCCTGCCAGTTCACCCAGCTGCCCAGACTCAACTAGTGACTGCCCAGGTCGTTCTACTCTAGCCACAGTAGATTATGGCTCTTTGAATGATCAAGCTGCACTCATTTCTAGGCTGTTGCATATTCTGCTTCCTTTCTCAAGATCCTTCTACCACCCCTCTTTACCTGGTTCACTCCTCTTGTCCTCCAGGTCTCAGCTCAGATGCCCCTTCCTCCAGGAAGTCCCCCCTGACTGCCCCCTTCTCCCCAAGCTGGCGCTGCTCTCTCTCAGTTCCCACACTCCCCTGGGCTCCCTTATTCCAGCTCCACCCGCTGTGTGCGATCCCTGATGACTGCTATATGTCCCCTGGACCTGAACTGGGAGCCTTGGGAGGAAGGGGCCCAAGGGCTGCCTTGTTTTGCTGGGTCCCAGTGATGTCCAGGACAGGTCCTTAGTGACTGTGCAGTAGACTGAGTGTCCCTTCCACCCTGATCCGTTGCTTGCCCACAGGTGCCCGTGGGGAAGGAGGTGGAAGGCATGAACATCCTGGGCTTGGTAGTGTTTGCCATTGTCTTTGGTGTGGCACTGCGGAAGCTGGGGCCTGAGGGGGAGCTGCTCAACCGCTTCTTCAACTCCTTCAATGAGGCTACCATGGTGCTGGTCTCCTGGATCATGTGGTAGGTGGTGGGAGAGGGGGCTGGGGATGGGTGGGGCTGGAGAGTCACTCTGCTGCCAGAGGCAGACAAGTGGCATTCTGTGTGGGGTGGGGCGCCCTCCATTCACTCTTTGGAGCCAAATGGTCCGAATTTAAATCCAGCATTGACCATTCCCTGGCTATATGATTTTAGGCAAGTGATTTTTTTTTTTTTTGAGACGGGGTTTCGCTGTTGTATCCAGACTGGAGTACAATGGTGCAATCTCGGCTCACCGCAACCTCCGCCTCCTGGGTTCAAGCAATTCTCCTGCCTCAGCCTCCCAAGTAGCTGGGACTACAGGCGCACACCACCATGCCCAGCTAATTTTTGTATTTTTAGTAGAGACGGGGTTTCACCTTGTTGACCAGGATGGTCTCCATCTCTTGACCTCGTGATCCACCCACCTCGGCCTCCCAAATTGCTGGGATTATAGGCGTGAGCCACTGCGCCCGGCCTAGGCAGGTGATTTACCCCTCTGCTTCAGTTTCCTCATCTATAAAATGGGAATAGCACTTTGGAAGGCAGAGGCAGGTGGATCACTTGAGGTCAGGAGTTCAAGACCAGCCTCACCAACATGGTGAAACCCCGTCTCTACTAAAAATACAAAAAATTAGCTGGGCGTGGTGGTGCGCGCCTGTAATCCCAGTTACTTGGGAGGCTGAGGCAGGAGAATCGCTTAAGCCTGGGAGGTGGAAGTTGCAGTGAGCTGAGAGATGGCGCCACTGCAATCGAGCCTGGATGACGGAGGGAAACTCCCTCAAAAAGAAAACAAAAAGTGAGCACAGGGCACAGAAGGCATTAGGACAGTGCCCCGATGCTTGTCTGCCTTCGGTAAATCCTAATAGCTAATATTTAGTGGGCGTTTTGCTTGTATAACTTCTGGGCACTTCCCACTGGCCAGAACGTGGGGATCTAGCCTTGCCTTTCTGCACAAGTGGCTGGTAAACTACACATTTCTTTTGCTTTTCTTTTTGAGAACGGAGTCTCGCTCTGTCACCTAGGCTGGAGTACAGTGGCAAAATCTTGGCTCACTGCAACCTCCGCCTCCTGGGTTCAAGTGATTCTCCCGCCTCAGCCTCCAGAGTAGCTGGGACTACAGGTGCGTGCCACTATGTCCAGCTAATTTTTCTATTTTTAGTGGAGACGGGGTTTCACCATGTTGGCCACATGGTCTCGATCTCTTGACCTTGTGATCAGCTCGCCTCAGCCTCCCAAAGTTCTGGGATTACAGGCTTGAGCCACTGTGCCCGGCTGAAACTTTGCCTTTTTTCTGTGACTTACAATAAGGGACCAGGGAGATGACTAGTCGGCGATGGTGGACAGGTGCTGGATGACTGAATAGTCTAGGGAAGTGATATTGGGAGGCCTCTTGGCTCAGAGCCATCCCTGGGATCTTCAAGCCAGGAGAGGGTGGTAAATAACCCCACCTGAAGTTTATAGATCGCTTACTGTCTGTAAAAAGCTTTAGCTCCTTTCAGCTGGCATCTCATTGCATCCTCCCAGCCTTCCTGTGAGAAATCTGTTGGGTGTTGCGTAACCTGCAGATGACTCAGAGGGCCTCGCTCGGGGGGTTGTTGGGAAGACTCAGTATCACCTTGAAGGGCAGAGCACATCAAAAATGCTTCAACCTGGGAGTTGTTGTTAAGACCCGGGCCATGGCCTTTCTGAAAAGTGTATTTTAGGCCAGGCGCGGCGGCTAACACCTGTAATTTCAGCACTTTGGGAGGCCAAGGTGGGTGGATCATGAGGTCAGGAGTTCAAGACCAGCTTGGCCAACATGGTGAAACCCCATCTCTACTAAAAAAATTTATAAATTAGCTGGGCGTGGTGGTGGGCACCTGTAGTCCCAGCTACTTACAAGGCTGAGGCAGGAGAATTGCCTGAACCTGGGACACAGAGGTTGCAGTGAGCCAAGATCATACCACTGCACTCCAGCCTGGGTGACAGAGCAAGACTCCGTCTCAGAAAAAAAAAAAAAAAAAAAAAAAAAGAGTGAGAGAGAGACATGTTCCCCAGGCTGGTCTCGAACTCCTGAGCTCAGGCGATCTGTCTGCCTCTGCCTCCCTACATGCTGGGATTACAGGCCTGAGCCACTGTGCCCATCCTATTTTTATTTTTTGTAGAGATGGGGTCTCGCTATGTTGCCCAAGCTGGTCTCGGGAACTCCTGGCCTCAAGTAATCCTCCTGCTTTGGCCTCCTAAAGTGCTGGGATTATAGGCATGAGCCACTCTGCCCGGCCTCTTTTTATCTTCCATCATCTGCAGAGAACATACTGGTTCTCTGCTGCTGTAGTAAACTGTATGTGAATGACGCACATTGATGGACATTTCTTTCTGGCTCTTGTGAAGCCCAAATCTGGTGACTGCTGCTTCACATGGTGATGGCAGCACTGAGGCTTGCTTTTTTTTTTGAGACAGAATCTTGCTCTTGGTGTGATCTTGGCTCACTGCAACCTCTACCTCCTGGGTTCGAGCAATTCTCCTGCCTCAGCCTCCAGAGTAGCTGGGACTTTAGGTGCATGCCAGCACGCCCAGCCAATTTTTGTATTTTTAGCAGAGACGGAGTTTCACCACGTTGGCCAGGTTGGTCTTGATCTCCTGACTTCAAGTGATCCGCCCGCCTCGGCCCTGCAAAGTGCTGGGATTACAGGTGTGAGTCACTGTGCGTGGCCACACTGAGGCTTTTATCTTCTGGGCTGTTCTATGTTTGAGGGGAGAAAGAACATGAGGTTGGCACAAGGGCTTCGGGGGCCAGGCCGGGGAGTGGTGCCCATGCTGAAGCACACATTGCTGAGGCTCCTCTTGACCTCAGGAAGGTGGGAAGATGTGGGCAGGGTCCTGAACCTCATCCCTGGCTACTGGGCCCGTGGCAGAGCCGACAAGCTGTCTCCTGTGTTACTGATCAGGTACGCCCCTGTGGGCATCATGTTCCTCGTGGCTGGCAAGATCGTGGAGATGGAGGACGTGGGTTTACTCTTTGCCAGCCTTGGCAAGTACATCCTGTGCTGCCTGCTGGGCCATGCCATCCACGGGCTCCTGGTACTGCCCCTCATCTACTTTGTCTTCACTCGCAAAAACCCCTACCGCTTCCTGTGGGGCATCGTGACGCCGCTGGCCACTGCCTTTGGGACCTCGTCCAGGTACGGCCTTGGGGTGGGCTAGGGCGGACGTCTGAGCTAAGGGGCAGGAGTGGATGAAATTTCCTGTGCCGGGGACATTGGATCTGGGTACAGGGGCCGTAATTTAATTTAGGAGATTCTCATAAGGTCCTGGATTTCTCCCCACCCTTAAAAAAAATAGGAAATGATTGCCCTTGAGATTTGTTCCCCACTTCTGTACACTCCCTCCTCATGGACCTGGGGGCACTCTTTTTTTTTTTTTTTCTTTTTTTTGAGACAGAGTCTTACTTTGTTGCCCAGGCTGGAGTGCAATGGCGCAATCTGGGCTCACTGCAACCTCCACCTCCTGGGTTCAAGGAATTCTCCTGCCTCAGCCTCCTGAGTAGCTGGGATTACAGGTGCACGCCACCATGACCGGCTCATTTTTGTATTTTGGTAGAGATGGGGTTTCACCATGTTGGCCAGGATGGTCTCATCTCCTGACCTTGTGATCCGCCCACCTCAGCCTCCCAAAGTGCTGGGATTACAGGCGTGAGCCACTGCACCTGGCTATTTTTCTTTTCTTTTTATTTTTTTAACGATGGAATCTAGCTCTGTTGCCTAGGCTGGAGTGTAGTGGTATGATCTTGGCTCACTGCAACCTCTGCCTCCCAGGTTCAACTGATTCTATGCCTCAGCCTCTCAAGTAGCTGGGACTACAGCTAAGTTTTGTATTTTTAGTAGAGATGGGGTTTTTCCATGTTGGCCAGGCTGGTCTCAAACTCCTGGCCTCAGGTGATCCACCGGCCTCAGCCTCCCAAAGTGCTGGGATTGCAGGTGTGAGCCACCAAGGCCAGCCCCTGGGCTCTTAGGCTCTGCTCTGATCCAGCCTCGGAACTCCTACCTCTCTCCTGGGCGTTTCGTTCATCTCTGCCGGCCCTCTTCCCTTAGAACCCGAACTTCCAAGACAGTAGTAATTCTTAGTGTATATTAGTGTATTCCCTGGATCCAGCAGGACACAGGCATTAGAATTTAGCTGTGACTCGTGTGGATATTTTGGGGGGTAGCAGTCTATACTCTCCCAGGGGTTCCAGGACTCACAGATTTTGTAATCCTGGTATTGAGTTCCCTAGTGCTGCCTGCTTGTGGGAAAAGAGCTTAGATACAGCCAGAGAGGGCTGGGGGTGGAGCCTGGACATTGTAGGAGAGAAAGGGGGGTCTAGGTTAGAGGAGATGGCCTTGGACCAGGGGACGGGCTGGGAAGGTAGGTGGGGTTTCCGCTGGGCAGGTTGTGTGGGCGGGATCTGGGTGGGCGGGGCTTTGGCTGGGCAGGTTGTGTGGGTGGGATCTGGGTGGGCGGGGCTACTGCTGGGTGAGTGGTGCAGGTCAGACCTGGAGGGTGGGCAGTCTTTGGCTGGCTGCGTGACAGGGCTTTGCTTAGGCAGGATCTGGTGGGGATCAACCAGGTGGGGTGGGTGGAGCTTTGGCTGGTTGGGGTGGGGTGGGCGGGGCTTTACCTGGGCTGGACCTGGAGGGTGGACTGAGCCCCTGTCAGCCGGCTGACCTAACCCAGCTCCCCTGTTCCTTGCAGTTCCGCCACGCTGCCACTGATGATGAAGTGCGTGGAGGAGAACAATGGCGTAGCCAAGCACATCAGCCGCTTCATCCTGCCCATTGGCGCCACCGTCAACATGGACGGTGCCGCGCTCTTCCAGTGCGTGGCCGCAGTGTTCATTGCGCAGCTCAGCCGGCAGTCCTTGGACTTCGTAAAGATCATCACCATCCTGTGAGTGCCAGGGAGGCAGCAGATGGGACCCCCGGACACCAGCTGACCCCCATCTTCTCCCACAACGGAGGCGTCAGCCTAACCTCCCACCTTCTCCCTCAGAATCACGGCCACAGCGTCCAGCGTGGGGGCGGCGGGCATCCCCGCTGGAGGTGTTCTCACTCTGGCCATCATCCTCGAAGCAGTCAACCTACCAGTCGTCCATATCTCCTTGATCCTGGCTGTGGACTGGCTAGTGTGAGTGTGGGTCTGGGGACTGAGGAAGGGGCCAGGGGTACCCTTGTGAAAGAGGATGAGTGAGTGTGGGTCCTTAGAGCCTCTGGACTGAAGAGGAGGAAAGGAAGGAAGGAATTCTGGAGGAAATGGGAACCTTGAGCATTCCTGAGGGCAAGGAATGGCATCTTTGCAGCCCTAAGAGAAATGTCAGAAAAGTAGGGAGTCTGTGTGGTGAATACAGCAGACTTCCTCCAGACTGCTCAGGTTCACATCCCAGCGCCACCATTCACTGTCATGACCTCGGGGAATGCTTAATCTCCCTGTGTCTCAGTTTCTCCATCTGTAAAACGGGTAGAAGAACGGTCTCTCCCCAAGGATTAGATAACAGAAACACCTCCCTTAGAGCGGCCCCCAGTAATTAGTGATTGCTACATAATTATTTGCTGTCATGATTAAGCTGTTAGGAGTATAAAGATTGGACCAGGCGCCGTGGCGCGGGCCTGTAGTCCCAGCTACTCGGGAGGCTGAGGCTGGAGGATCGCTTGAGTCCAGGAGTTCTGGGCTGTAGTGTGCTATGCTGATCAGTCCGCACTAAGTTCAGCATCAATATGGTGACCCCCTGGGAGCAGGGGACCAGGTTGCCTAAGGAAAAGTGAACCAGCCAAGGTCGGAAACGGAGCAGGTGGAAACTCCCCTGCTGGTCAGTAGTGGGATCTCGCCACTGCGCTGTGAATAGCTACTGCACTCCAGCCTGGGCAACATGGCGAGACCCCGTTTTTTTTAAAAAAAAAAAAAAAAGAGAGAGAGCATAAAGATTGGAAAGCAGCCAGGCACAGTGGCTCATGCCCATAATTTCAGCATTTTGGGAGGCCTAGGAGGGTGGATCATTTGAGGTTAGGAGTTTGAGACCAGCCTGACCAACATGGTGAAACCCCATCTCCACAAAAAAATCAGCTGGGCATGGTGGTGTACGCCTGTGATCTCAGCTACTCAGGAGGCTGGGGCAGGAGAATTGCTTAAACCCAGGAGGTGGAGGTTGCAGTGAGCCGAGATTGTGCTAGTGGACTCCAGCCTGGGCAACAGTAAGACCCCCATCTCAAAAAAAAAAAAAAAAAAAATCTGGGATTAATGATTGGCCATGGTTGTATAAGTCCAAATATACTAAATAAATACTAAGATGGACACTTTTAAAAGGTTAATTTTATGGTAGGTGAATTATAGTTTAATTTTGTTTTGAGACGGTCTCTCTCTGTGGCTCAGGCTGGAGTGTAGTGATGTCATCATGGTTGTGATCACTGCAGCCTCCACCTCCCAGGCTCAAGCGAGCCTCCTGCCTCGGCCTCCTGAGTAGCTGGGACTCTAGGCATGCACTGTCATGCCTGGCTAATTTTTTTTTAAATCTTTCTAGAGATGGGATCTCACTATCTTGCCCAGGCTGACTCCAACTCTTAATTTTTTCTTTTTAGATTCCAGGGGAGAGAGACAGTCCTTGGCCCTTTCCTTCCCTCTCCCTCTCTCCCCCTCTCTGCTTCTCCCCTCCCACTTACTCTGCTGTCATTTCTACCCCTTTAGGGACCGGTCCTGTACCGTCCTGAATGTAGAAGGTGATGCTCTGGGGGCAGGACTCCTCCAGAATTACGTGGACCGCACAGAGTCGAGAAGCACGGAGCCTGAGCTGATACAGGTGAAAAGTGAGCTGCCCCTGAGTCCACTGCCAGCCACCACTGACGAAGGGAACCCCCTCCTCAAACACTATCGGGGGCCCTCAGGGGATGCCACGGCCGCCTCTGAGAAGGAATCAGTCATGTAAACCCCGGGAGGGACCTTCCCTGCCCTGCTGGGGGCACTCATTGGACATTGGATTATGAGGAATGGATAAATGGATGAACTAAGGCTCTCGGGGCCTGCCTGCACACTCTCGGATGCCAGGGGCCCCGGCCCGCTCCAGGACAGGAGATCTGGGACGCCTGGCTGCTGGAGTACATGTGTTCACAAGGGTTACTCCTCAAAACCCCTAGTTCTCACTTTTCCCCAACTCAAGTCTAAGTAATAGCAAGATGGAGAAATAACGGCCCCCTGCCTCCTCACCACAACCTGCCTGGCCTTCCGTGTCTAAGAGAGCAGGTCCCAGGTCACCGTGGGGAATTCTAGCCCCTACTAGGGGGATGTTTCAACACCATGCTGGTGATTTTGGTGGCCGTAGTTGTGTGTATGTGTGTATGTGTGTGTGTGTGTGTGTATACATCTGTGGGGTGTGTTCTGTGACCTCCCATCTCCAGGGTACATCCCACCCTGTCCCCAGATCCCCTATTCCCTCCATAATAACAGAAACACTCCCAAGGACTCTGGCAAGAGAGTGAGGACAGATAACTGCTGTCACTCCAGAAGACATTTTTTTAATCAATAAAATTGAGTGTCAACTATTTAATCGGGTGTTCTTCAGAATTTGACTTAAAGCAGTAGCCACTACGACAACAATATCTGCTCATCAAGAAACACCCGTGGGCTGGGCGTGAGGACTCATGCCTGTAATTCCAGCACTTTGGGAGGCTGAGGCGGGTGGATTACAAGGTCAGTAGTTCGAGACCAGCTTGGCCAAGCTGGTAAAACCCCATCTCTACTAAAAATACAAAAATTAGCCAGGCATGGTGGCGAGCGCCTATAATCCCAGCTGCTCAGGAGGCTGAGGCAGGAGAATCACTTGAACCTGGGGCAGAGGTTGCAGTGAGCCAAGATCATGCTACTGAACTCCAGCCTGGGTAACGGTGAGACTCCGTCTCCAAAAAAAAAAAAAGGCAGGTGCAGTGGTGCACACCTGTAGTCCCAGCTTGAGGTGGGAGGATGCCTTGAGCCCAGGAGTTCAAGGCTGCAGCCACCCATGATCGTGCCACTGCACTCCAGCCTGGGCAACAGAGTAAAGACCCTATCACTTTTTTTTTTTTAAACCATGCAGCTTAGGAGTTGCATTCCTGGGTCCTTACCCAAGAGAAATGAAAACTTGTTCATACAGAAATGTGTCCATAATCATTTAACTGCCGTACTCATTGTTGCTAAAATTCGGGAGCAAGTCAGTTGGATACACTGGTACCCTCAACCAATGGAAGATTACTCACAATAAACAAGAATGAGGCCGGGCGCGGTGGCTCACACCTGCAATCCCAGCACTTTGGGAGGCCAAGGCGTGTGAACCACAAGGTCAGGAGTTCGAGACCAGCCTGGCCAATATAGTGAAACTCCGTCTCTACTAAAATACAAAAATTAGCTGGGTGTGGTGGCGGGTGCCTGTAGTTCCAGCTACTCAGGAGGCTGAGGTGAGAGAATTGCTTGAACCCGGGAGGCAGAGGTTGCAGTAAGTGGAGACCACGCCATTGCACTCCAGCCTGGGTGACAAAATGAGACTCCATCTCAAAAATAAGTAAGAGCGATATTGACCTACGCTGCAATAGAAATGCATTTCAGATACTTTGTTGAGAGAAGCCAGAGATGGTGAATACTGTATCGTTCCAATCCGAGGAGGGCTAGAACCTGCTAAACTGGTCTGCGGTGGGAAATCAGAACAGTGGTGACCTACGAGAATGCATATGAGGCCAGGCATGGTGGCTTCACGCCTGTAATCCCAGCACTTTGGGAGGTCGAGGTGAGCAGATTGCTTGAGTCTGCTTGAAGCGGGCAGATTGAAACTAGCCTGGACAACATGACGAATCCCCCGTCTCTACAAAAAATACAAAAATGAGCTGGGTATAGTGGTGCTTGCCTGTAGTCCCAGCTAATTGGGAGGCTGAGGAGGGAGGATTGATTGAGCCAAGTACATTGAGGCTACAGTGAGCCATGATTATGCCCCTGCACCCCAGCCTGAGTGACAGTGTAAGATCTTGTCTCAAAAAAAAAAAAGAGTATTGATCCGGAGGGAGCACAAAAGAACATTCTATGATAAAGCAAATGTCTTACCTTGATTTGGGTGATGATTCCACAGCTGTTGGCATTTGGAAAAGTGAATGAGCCTGTACACAAATCATGTGCGTTTTTCGCTGTGTGTATTCCAGTTAAATGTTTTCTACAACCTGGACGTAGTTGTTCCTGAAGGGAGTTTCACTACTCAAGAGGCTGAGGCGAGGGGATCGCTTGAGCCCAAGGGTTCAAGGCTGCAATGAACCATGATTATATGACTGCACTCCAGCCTGGGCGACAGATTGAGACCCTGTCTCTTAAAAAATTCTGTGCGGGGAGAATCGCTTGAACCCAAGAGGTGGAGGTTGCAGCGAGCTGAGATTGCGACACTGCACTCTAACCTGTGCAACACAGCAAGACTCTGTCTCTCTTTTTTTATTTTTTATTTTTTTTTTTGGGGGGGTCTCTCTTTTTTAAAAAATATATTTTTTTGGTCGGGCGCGGTGGCTCACGCCTATAATCCCAGCACTTTGGGAGGCCGAGGTGGGTGGATCACGAGGTCAAGAGATCGAGACCATCCTGGTTAACAAGGTGAAACCCCATCTCTACTAAAAATACAAAAATTAGCTGGGCATGGTGGTGCGGGCCTGTAGTCCCAGCTACTCGGGAGGCTGAGGCAGGAGAATTGCTTGAACCCAGAAGGCAGAGGTTGCGGTGAGCTGAGATCGCGCCATTGCACTGCAGTCTGGGTAACAAGAGCGAAACTCCGTCTCAGAGTTTATTATATATATATATATATATAATTTTTTTTTCTCTTTTTGCGCTCCCTCTCCACCTCCTCCCAAGACTCTGTCTCAGAAATAACAACAAAATCTGTACAACTCATGGTAACATTTTTTCCCATTGTGACCACCTACATAGGAATGCAGGCATCCCTTCATATCCCAACTCTCACTATCCAAATTGTCCCAATAGTGATTTTTTTTTTTTTTTTGGAAACCCCAAAGTTGCTATTTGCATAAAAACCCGCTCTGCAACTGTTTTACATCCTGTGTTAAGTTCTGAATATGGACGATGCTGGCCAGGCACGGTGGCTTATACCTGTTAATCCAGCATGTTGAGAGACTGAGGTGGGTGGATCACCTGAGGTCAGGGGTTTGAGACCAGTCTGACCAAAATGGTGAAATCCCGTCTCTATGAAAAATACAAAAGTTAGCTGCGTGTAGTGGCGGGCACCTGGAATCCCAGCTACTTGGGAAGTGGAGGCAGGAGAATTGCTCCAGGAGGCGGAGGCTGTGGTGAGCTGCAATTGCACCACTGCACTCCAGTCTGGGTGACAGAGTTAGACTCTGTCTCAAAAACAAAAGAAAAAAACAAACAGAAAGGACTATGCCACTGTTGAGTCTCACCTGTTCTTCTGAGACAGGGTCTCTTGCTCAAGGGAAGTGCAGTGGTGCTACCACGGCTCACTGCAGCCTCGACTTCCTGGGCTCAATCAGTTCTGCCTCAGCCTCCTGAGTGGCTGGAACTACAGGTGCACACCACCACACCCGCTAATTATTATTATTGTTATTTTTTTTTGGAGACAAAGTTTTGCTCTTGTTACCCAGGCTGGAGTGCAATGGTGCGATCTCAGCTCACTGCAACCTCTGCCTCCTGAGTTCAAGTGATTCTCCTGCCTCAGCCTCCCGAGTAGCTGGGATCACAGACGTGTGCCACCACACCTGGCTAATTTTATATTTTTAGGGGAGACAGGGTTTCTTCGGTTTATCAGGCTGGTCTTAAACTCCTGACTTCAGGTGATTTGCCTGCCTTGGCCTCCCAAAGTGCTGGGATTGCAGGTGGGGGCCACCATGCCCAGCCTCTGATTTTAATTTGTAGAGATGGGGTCTCACCAGGTCAGGCTGGTCTCAAACTCCTGGACTCAAGTGACACTCCCACCTTGCTTCCCAAAGTGCTAGGATTACAGGTGTGTGCCCCTGCGCCCTGCCCTACTTCTCACCTGTTCTAACGTTAGGCGTTGTTGATATGATCTTCCAATTCTCCGCAGCGCCTGTGTTGACTTTGGCGAGCTTCCTGGAGGCACCACTGCCCTGGGTCCAGTTATAGATGGTATCTTTAGTATCTTTTTGTTTGCTTAGTTAACACCCCATGATCATTGCACTGTGAAGGACAATGGAACTTTCGTTTACGAGACAGAGTTTGGCTCTTATTGCCCAGGCTGGAGTGCAGTGGCACGATCTCGGCTCACTGCAACCTCTACCTCCTGGGTTCAAGCGATTCCCCTGCCTCAGCCTCCTGAGTAGCTGGGATTACAGGCACCTGCCACCACACCCAGTAATTTTTTGTATTTTTAGTAGAGACAAGGTTTCATCATGTTGGCCAGGCTGGGCTTGAACTTCTGACCTCAGGTGATCCACCCACCTTGGCCTTCCAAAGTGCTGAGATTACAGGAGTGAGTGACAGCCCCTGGCTTCAAACTTTTTTTTTTTTTTTGAGTCAGAGTCTTGCCCTGTCACCCAGGCTGGAGTGCAGTGGCACAATCTTGGCTCAATGTAAGCTCCGCCTCCCGGGTTCAAGCCATTCTCCTGCCTCAGCCTTCCAAGTAGCTGGGACTACAGACATGCACTACCACACCCAGCTACTTTTTCTGTTTTTTAGTAGAGATGGGGTTTCACCACACTGGCCACGCTGGTCTTGAACTCCTGACCTCAGGTGATCCACCGGCCTTGGCCTCCCAAAGTGTTAGGACCACAGATGTGAGCCACTGTGCCTGGCAATTGCTGCATTTTTAGTAGCGATGTGGTTTTACCATGTTGGCCAGGCTGTTCTCAAACTCCTCGTGTCAAAGTTTTTTTTTTTTTTTTTGGAGCCAGAGTCTCACTTTGTTGGAGTGCAATGGCAAGATCTCCACTCACTGCAATCTCTGCCTTCCAGGTTCAAGCAATTCTCCTACCTCAGCTTCCCGAGCAGCTGAGATTTCAGGCACCTGCCACCAGGCCTGTAAGTTTTGTATTTTTTGTAAAGACAGGATTTCGCCATGTTGGCCAGGCTGGGCTTGAACTCCTGACCTCAGGTGATCCACCTCCACCTCCCAAAATGCTGGGATTACAGGTGTGAGCCACCACTGTGCCTGGCCATGCCCAGCTATTTTTATTAGAAAAGTTTTTTTTGTTTGTTTGTAAAGACGGGAAGGGAATCTCACTATGTTGCCCAGGCTGGTCTTGAACTCCCAGGCCAAAGTGTTGAAGTGTTGGGATTACAGGCGTGAGCCACTGCACCCAGTGTCAAATATGTTTTAAAATTAGTGGCTGGGTGCAGTAGCTTGTGCCTGTAATCCCAGCACTTTGTGAGGCCCAGGCAGGTGGATCATCTCAGGTCAGTAGTTTGAGACCAGCTTGACCAACATAGGGGAACCCCATCTCTACTAAAAATCCAAAAAAAAAAAATGATCTGGGCGTTTGTAGTTTCAGCTACTCAGGAGGCCGAGGTGGAAGAATCGCTTGAGCCCAGGAGGCAGAGGTTGCAGTAAGTGGAGGT